ACTTGACTCGATCTTTTCATTATAATGCCTCCGGTTGGGTAAGAGAAAGTGAGGTAGATGAACCGAAAGTCCGCTTCGCTACAAACACATCCAGAGACAATCCACGTCTGTGACCGATGGTGGATCTTGTCGTTTGCGAAAGTTAAACCATCGTCGTAATCAGCGAGGAGGACAGAACAGAGCGCATTTGAATTCGGTCAAGAATTTGAAAAGGTCTAACATTTACATATAAAGATTACAACTTCGCTGCAGGCTTTTCTTGATTTAGCACTATGAAAGAACAATGCTGAAATCACAGAACTTTCCCGAAAAATGCAGGCGACACATTTTAGAGGTTAATGCTGGTTCTATGAGAAAACACGGTGACCGTAGGACTGAGGATGAACGAGCATGAAAACCACGCCATCACAGGTTCTTTTCTGAACGACCCATCCCCCCCCAGTTTTGGTGGAATCCAGCTGTCTGAGAACTTGTTAGTCGAAAAGTCAACCGTATCTTGCCATCCTGACTTTTAGATCTTTGAATTATCTGGCTATTGACCACCGTCTTCCCTCCTCCGTCCCTCCCTTCAACATAAAATATGGCAACTTTTGTGCCGATCTGGGAAAAGGAGCATAGCTAACAAGTCCGGGCACTTACTTTTTTGATTTCCTTTGGCTTTTCCGGTTTTCTGCAGTTCCATGAGTGTCTGTCCACGACCCCGACGATGCAGTATTGCGCGACAATCGATTATCTGCACTTCCAGTCGGCTGATTTCTGCCTGGATCTCAGCCCTCCGGCCGTCGTTGAAGCTGTCCTCCTGATCTATATCCTCAATCTCCTTCTGCAAATCCGATATACGCTTCTCCACTTTGGCCAGTTGCTCGCGCAGTTGGTCTTCCTCCTTCTGCATGTTTTCATTTCGCCGCCTGTACGATTCCATCTGTTGTTTTTTCTGTTGTTCAATGGATCTGTTCTGCCTACTGTCGTTGCTACCAGTGCTACCGCCTGTCTTCTGTTGTGTGGTGGGTTTTTCGTTACGTTTCCGTACGGGCGACTTGGCAGTTGACTGAGCAGTTCTACCCTCATTTTCTGATCCTGGTCTCGGCCGGCTTCGGCTGGCCTGTCGGGTTTCTTTCTTTTTCCTGTCTGCTTCTCTTCCCCTTCCACGGTCAGTCTCGTTTGGAGAGTGGTCTGGCTCCGGGGCTTTATCCCCTCTCGTGGGAGTGTCTGCATCCTTGAGGTCTTCATTTTCTGTCTCCTCGTCTGCCTTGTTTGTTTGTTCCTTCCGATCCTCTGTGCTCTTGGCGTTCTTTTTCCCCTTAGCTGGCTTTTCGGGGCCTTTCTTATTTGTTTTTGTGTTTGAACTTTGATCCTTCATTGTCTTTGCTCTCTGGGGGCTTCCGGTGCTGCAGGTGTCACTTTCATTTTGTTCAGATTCAGTGTGCCTATCTCCTTCTTCGCCACCGTCCTCATCACTGCCATCCGAATCGTTCTCGTCTTCGGCCTGCTTCACTTCAGATGTTCCATTCACTTCCCTCTCCAGAGCCGCCAGTCGGTCAGAACAGAATTTATGAGCCTTCTTTGTGTGTGCCAGACTGGTCCGCAGTTGTTTTCGATGACGTTTGCACTTCTCCAGTTGCAGCTTTCTCTGTCGTTGTTGGGAGGCAGTCTGCTGCTCATTCTCCCCGATTAGGAGGTACTCCTGTTTCAGCTCCTCAATCTCTTCCTTGCTCTGATTTATCAGCTGGGTCAGTTTTTCCGGATAGGATTTGTCTCGCGCAATGCGTTCGTCAATGCAGGAGGTGATGACATCCCAAGCAGTGCAAACCTCCAGAAAGATGCCTTCCAACTTCTCAAAATTTCTTACTGTTGAGCTCATGTCTCGGGTGTAGTTTGTCCATCGTTGCTGATTTTGTTTTAGCTCTGTCAGTCGTTGTGCGAATTCTTGGTTCTGGTCGGCGATAAAATCCTCGTATTCCTGCACATCCTGATGTACCTGCTCTGTGAGCTCAATGAGACTGACGCAGTAGACACACAATCCGTCAGTTAGCACCAGCGTCAGTTTTTTGTCGAGTCGGTTGAACAGAGAGCTCATGTCCTGCGAGACGATCGCGAGCTCCTGCAGTTTTTTGACTTTATCGACGTAACTGGCACCGCCTGACTCTCCACCGAGTTCATCTGCCAGATTTTTGCACTGAGCCTCCGTCAGGGTAGCAAGATTTATTCCTCGCCTTGCTGCAGCAACCTTGGTCCAAGTTTTCTTTAGGGACTCTGCCTGAACAAATTTGAAACCTCGAAATTTCTCTTCGATTTCAGTAAAATATTTCTGGAGGAATGTTACTGCGTTTTCTGCAAGACTGTAAACAGATTCCAATGACTGCGGTGGCCGTTGACGACTTCTGCTTCGAGCTGTTGGTCCAGACGTCATTTCTACCAAGAATATACTTTGTACAGGTCGGGCCCTATTATACGGGCCTGAAGTTGCAAAATCAGCCAATCAGAAAAATGTTAAGACTACTTACCCAATCAAAAGGTAAGAAAAACGGCCACTATCTCCAACCTGTCTTGCCTTCAAGAAAAGCATGGTATCTTGCTTTTCAGAACTCCCATTTGATATTTTTGGAGGTAAGATACAAAATGCCTTCCTCGAAGGACTGAGCGTAGTAAAATATAATTAAATCCAAGTAAAACACCTTGTTATGACAACGGTTTAATGTCTTTGTAGATATTCAAGTTCGCCTGTTTCTGCATTCAACAACGCGGCTTCAGGGCGAAGATGTCAACTCGTCCGGATATATAAAAGTGTCATTTTAAATCCAGGCCCCACCGAATAGCATGACTAATATTATACTTATTTCACTCATCTGTACACAGCCGACAATAGGCTTACTTGACCAACGCAGCCACGGACACGGATAATAAATAATTTCAGAATATAAATTGGCGAACATACGTTTGTTTTCGGTAAATTTTCGTCAGGCCTTTACGTTTATGTGGTAATTAATTAAATAAACTATGCTGATTGGTAGAAAAAATAGTGCGGTTGTCAGGGTAGGTGGGGCGGGAGGAATTGGGGTCAAAAATCTGATCAGCGTTAGGGGGAACTAGTAGCTGAGCCTCTTTGGTATCCACGCTATGGTCTGAGTCTACCAGATGCGCTAGAATGGAACTGTTTATATCGTTTAGTTGGCTCTTCCCTACCCATGCAGAAATGTGTTCTCTTACTCTTTTGGACAAACGCCGGTTCATGCGACCAATCTATCCTCTCCCGCATCGCTCGGCTACCAGTCACCCCCAACGCTGATCAGGTTTTTTGAACCCGACTCCCCCCCCTCCCCCTGCCCTGACAACCGCACTATCTTTTCTACCAATCCGCACAGTTTATTGAGTTAATTAGCATATAAATGTAAAGGCCTGACGAGACTTCATCGAAAATAAACGTATGTTCGCCAACTTATCTTCTGAAGTTTTCAATGGGAATTTTCGCAAAAATAGATAAATTGAAGAAGAAACACCTGCGCTCAGAACCCCGGTAGTTTGTGATTTCGGCTCACTGCATTCTGATGATCAACTGTGCAGGCGTCCTCACTGTAGAATGGGTAATGCAAAAGTATTTCTGAACCTTAAATAAAATTAGAATTTTCTATTAGGTCATCAGTCTGCATATTATCAACAAGTATTTGGTTTCTGTACTTCAGTAGAATGCTTTTAAATTATTGATGACAACCTACTTATGTTTTGATGTTAGTGCTAATGTCGGAAGCAGTGAGACCAGAGAAAAAGAAATGGGTTTGTTTCAATGAATTGCAAAAGGCAACATTTCTCACTGAAATTTTATTCAGACAGCTGTTTCTTACGGCAGTAAGGCCATTGGATCCCTCATTTTCAGGGCTTTCTTATTACATTTACGAATAAACGAGTACCGTATATCTGTGCAAAAAGTAGGCCAAAAAATCCAACCTTTCGAACGTAAGGGAAATGTAAGCCAGGCCTGCACACACGAAGACTCGTAAAACATACGTCTTTCTGCGAAAATTCGGTGCCGTTTACTGAAAGAAAAAACGCATACAATCATTGGCTTACGACAATAAGAGAATGCAGTGGGACGGTTACGCGTAATTAGTATTGTGCCCGTTCAGTCGCATCAAATGCTATCTTATCCTTCTGCCCCAGTAAGCAGGAAGTGACATTTCTTAGAAGCATTGGTTTACCGTCTCTTGTCCTTCCGAAAATTATCTCCCTCTACGTTTAATACTTAATACCACATAGAATCACCTCATTCATTCAGTTTGCTTACTTACTTATGTATTGCCCGTTTACAGGCAAAATCGAAAGACATTTACAATAGGAATGGAGCTGACAGTGAAGAAAACTGCTCAGTATTCTTACTAGTGATTGCCAGTAACTGGTGTTTTTCAGGAGAAAAAACTGCAGCTCATTGAATGTTAGTAGTTCTGGATGGGGAAGGGTTGATACAAGTGAACGGTGTTGTCAGTACCCGTTCAGTGTTATCGAAGCGGTATTCTGCACCAGACAGAGGTGTTCGCGCGAAAGGTTGCTCGGTGTCGCCTTAAGGATTAATCGATTGCGGAGTGCAGAGTCAACTCTATTGCCCTCAGGATGAAGCCTGGCACAGAGCAGAAAAGCTATTCCACCGAGTCAGCACCCACAATTCGTGAGAGGTGCCCTGAATGTGGATAACTAGTGATCGTTCTCTTAAATAAAGGATACCTTTGCGGAATTTTGATATTTCTGGATATCTTATTCCAGATTGCTATGGTTTTTCAGGGAAAAAAACTGATGATATCTAACTGTGCTTGACAGAGGAAGAAATAAA